CTATTATGTAAGTGTCTGACCAAGAACTCTACATTTTGAAAGATCAGGCAGCTAAAAACAGCAAACCCACTGGTCAATCTTAACATCAAAAAAAAAAGAAAAAAAGAAAAGAAAAGAAAAACAACCAGAAAGCATGTGCTTCTTAATGTGATGCAATACAAGATATGTAGCACGACCTGTGAAGTACTCTTGCCAAAATATCATACTACAATCTGATCAAGTCTTTAGATTAACCACAGGAAACAGGAGAAACAAGTTACATCACACTGTATGGATACATCCAACAAAATCCAAACTGTGGGAAATTCTACAGGGCAAATGATCTGGATTTTTCTCATTAAATAAATGATAAGTGATAAGACAAAAAAAAAAAAAAGAGGGGTTACTAGACACTGAAAGACTTATTTATCAACCAGATGCTGTATGGAATTCTTTGGATGCTGATTTAAATAAACCAAATGAAGAAAAACATGAAACAATCAGGGAAATATGCTGAATATTTAATAATATTAAAGAATTACTAATTTTTCAGATGTGCTAATAGTAATATGGGTATGTTAAGAATCCTTATCTTTTTAGAGAGATACACAATTAACTATTTATAGATGAAATATGTCTGAGGTTTGCTTTTAAATTATCCATTTGAGGGGGAATGGGAGGAGTAATAGAAGACACAAAATACACATTTCAAACCGTCAAAACTGGTCATGGATGTATGGTGATTCATTTTCCTATTATATTTCTTTATGTATGAAATCTCCCATATTAGAATATTAAAGATAATACAGAGCACTAGACCAAAAATATCTGATTGGTGGAACTCTCAAACTTTTGCAATTCCTTGCGCCTCAACAAACCTTCATTTAAAACTCAAAACCAGGGGGCGCCTGGGTGGCTCAGTCGTTAAGCGTCTGCCTTCGGCTCAGGTCATGATCCCAGGGTCCTGGGATCGAGCCCCGCATCGGGCTCCCTGCTCTGCTGGAAGCCTGCTTCTCCCTCTCCCACTCCCCCTGCTTGTGTTCCCTCTCTGTGTCTGTCATAAAAAAAAAATTAAAAAAACAAAAAACAAAAAGACCCTCAAAACCAGGGGCACCTGGGTGGCTCAGTTGGTTAAGCGACTGCCTTCGACTCCAGTCATGATCCCTCGGTCCTGGGGTTGAGCTCTGGGCCCCACACCAGACTCCCTGTTTGGCCCTCTCCCTCTGCTGCTCCCCCTGCTTGTGCTCTCCTGCTCTCTCTCTCTCTGTCAAATAAATAAAAGCTTTAAAAAATAATAAAATAAAAATAAAAACCAAAAATGTACATTTTAAGTATTGCCTTTAAGAATTACATTTGCACATATTTTTTAAAGATTTTATTTATTTATTCATCAGAGAGAGAAAGGAGAGAGAGCACAAGCAGGGGGAATGGCAGGCAGAGGGAGAAGCAGGCTCCCCGCTGAGCAAGGAACACGAGGAAGGACTGGATCCCAGGACCTGAGCTAAGGCAGCCCTTAACCAGCTGAGCCACCCAGGTGTCCCTACATTTGCATATTTTAAGTAATGACTTCAACTACGAAATGCTTTCATTTTATGTCTGGTTCTTATTACTGACATTTGCCAACACACACAAACACTTTACTCCACAGAAGTAACCAAGTAACCAAGTTCTGAATATTCTAAATCCTAAACATCTCAATCTGTCCTCCTCCTACTACTTCTTTGTTTTAAGCCCTTAACACTTGGTCAGAGTCTTGCTATATAGCCTCCTCCTTATGGGTCTCTCTTTTCAATTTAAACACATACCATTCACCCTCCATATTGTTTTCTTAAGAGGATCCCCACCATCTCCAGTATGAAATCAAAACTTCTTTGTATGACATACATTGCCCTCAGAAATACGGTCCTTGGAGCACCTGGGTGGCTCAGTCAATTGAGCGTTCAACTCTCGGTGTCAGCTCAGGTCTTGATCTTGGGGTCCTGAGATCAAGCCCTGCATCAGGCTCTGTGCTCAGTGGGGGAGTTTGAGATTCTCTCCCTCTGCCCTCTGCCCCCTACCCCTGTTAGTGCATGCTCTCAAATAATCTTAAAAAAAAAAAATCTGGTATTTGTCTTTCTCTAGAACACTCCCACCAGTACCCCATATCATCCCATACGCCACTCATTCCTAACTGCATAAAGTATATATATAGTAGTTCCCAGAATAAACTAAGGATGCTCTTTCTCTTCTCAAGTTCAGTTCCCTTGGACTAAAACCACCAACTCAATGCCCCTTCTACTTCCAGGTTAATTCCAATTCCTACTGACTCTGTAAGACTCACTTCTACTATCAGCTTTTGTGCAAACCCACCCAGACTTTCCTTTCTCCCCTTGATTACCCCATATTTTCAAAATAATCTATGTAATAGTATCACACCATCCTTCTGGCTTTATCTGTATTGCCTTTCAAAACTATTAAGTACCACAGCGTTTGCAATACAGTAGACACTAAATGTTTTATGATGTATGCATCTTCCATTGACAACAACTGTATGAAATGTAAACTGTATGAAAGCAGAAAACTTGTCTAACACGTATTTGCCACTCCAGTGCCTAACACAGTGCTTAGAATATATTGAACACTGGGATGGCTGGGTGGCTCAGTTGGTTAATTGTCTGCCTTGGGCTCAGGTCATGATCCCAGGGTCCTGGGATGGGGTCCAGCATCGGGCTCCTTGCTCAGCGTGGAGCCTGCTTCTCCATCTGTCTGCTGCTCCCCCTGCTTGTGCGCTCTCTCTGACAAATAAATAAAATCTTAAAAAAAAAAAAAAGAATATATTAAACACTAAATAAGTGATTACCAAATGAATAAAACAAATATTTCTGTAGCCATGGTAGACAATTTTGTACAAAATTTGATTCCACTCCAGGTTTTAAACTTGTGTTTCTGGTATCTTGGTTTGTTTTTTTTTTTTTCCGGTTGGTTGACTGAGCTGGGGGAGGGAGACAGATTCCCTGCTGAGTAGGGAGTCTGACATGGGGCTGGATCCCAGGACTCTGAGCCAAAACCAAGAGTCAGAATGCTTAACCAACTGAGCCACCCAGGTGCCCCCCAGAAGCAAATACTTTAAATAATAGTTTACAATAAGAACTATGCAGTGTAGATACAACATACTTTGGTGAACTTTTGGGTGACAGCGTTGATCTAAAATTTGAGAAGGCTCAACAAATTATCATTATTGGACAACTTCAGTTTTCAGTTTTCACTATAATTTAATTGAAAATTGTAAAGGAAAAAAAAAATCACACAACAGCAGTCAGGATTCAAGCAACGTAAAAAATAAAATCAGACCCTCAACTTCAAATTTTACAGTGAGAATTTCTCTCTGTAGAATCAAGAGGATTGTTAGCACGTACAATCAATCAACACTGAGTTCTTATTATGTGCCACAGACAGTGCACAACTTATGTATACAAACATATGGGGGCTGGGGGGGGGATATCTGCTATAAAAAAATGGACATAAATGGAAAGACAGCAGAAACAGGAGAAATTCAGACCACATCTCAATTTTTGAAGGTTAGGTTTCAAAATATGTATGTGGCAAGACATTAAGAGGCTGAATTTAAGAAGAGTATCTGAGGTAAGACTAAGAAATTACAGACTTTCACTAGAAAGTCATTAGAAACAAAGTTGGTTTGAAGATGATGAATCATCTTGATTCCCATTTTCTAAGGTATCTAAAAATGTTTTTCAAAATAGTGAAATGGTGTGTTCAGATTTATGCTATTTACCATAAAAAAAAAACCTATACACATAACTGAAGAGTCAGTATTAACGGTTTGCTTTTTTCCATTAAAAAGGCACTATATCGTTCAACTTTCCCTCCCAAAATAGATTCTCTTAAAACCCACTTAAGTAATAAATTTAAAAATCTGGTGTCGGTAACCCTTCTTTTAAAATTAAGGAAAAAAGTAAAATGACGCTTTTATTGACTTTACATTACCATAGAAAGTGGAAAATAGTGTAAGGTGCACTATTTATTCGTAGTATAACTATATTCGTGGTTTCGCTTTTGTATGGCACTTGAATTAACTTCTGAGAAAAGTAAACCTGCCAGACTCCAGCAGAGGGAGAGATGTTTGCATGAAACCTATCAAGAGTTCAAGTACTGACCAGAAAAACACTTCGCTCTTCAAGTCCCTGATCTAAATTACTTTCTTTTTAAGAAACCTTCAAATTTGATTCCTCGCCTTAACAACAACAAAAAGCTCCATCAAAAGCTGCAATGCACCGAATCCCTCTCGCCACTCCACACTGTAGGTTTAAAACCCTTCTCTAGGGCAACGGATGAGGAAGTGAAGTTCGACATAAATCCAGGTAACACATCGCCTCGGTACCTATAGCAGCGCCCCCAACAAAAATCCTTAATTCTTGCTAAAGAAAACTGGAAACCAGATCTACCATCAATATCGTCAAATCCCTCCTGTTTGGCTCCAAAAGGAAAACGTACCTGTGGAGTATCCACTGCGCAAGCAAACAAGGCACAGCTCCAATCCCGTGTCCTCTATCCCTTTTTTGTTCCCTCCCAGCCCTCCTTCCCTTTCCAAGCAGAACTTGAGCAGAGCATTTGGCTCCCTTATCTGCCAGCAACTGGCGCCAGGAGGAAGGCGCTCCCGGGAGATGCGGAGCTTGGAGGCTGAGCGCTGCGTCTGGCGCGCTGCGGCCGCTCGGCTCTTGCAGGTACTCCCTGGCTCGCGCCTCTGCCGCCTCAAGGGGCCCTCGCTGGAGCCAGGTCCCTGCTCTGGGGATTCCCGCGGCGAGCTACCGTGCCAGATTTGCTACCTGCTTCCTGCCCCTCACCCCCGAACGAACTGCACTCCCGTCCCGCCGGGGCAAGTCCGGAAGCATCAAGGCAATTCCGCGCTCCTTCGCCCCAGGAAGTAGGGCTCCGGACGCACACTTGCCAGTCAGGTCCTCCCCCTTCCCTGCCAGCAACCCCCCAGGGCCATTCCCCTGCCGGGGCCTGCGTGGGTCCAGTACCATTCTCCTCACGGGGCGCACTCCGGAAGGGCAGCAACTCCACCTCCTCCTCCTCCGCGGCCTGTAGCCATCTATCGGGAAGCGTCTCCGAAGGCGGCAGCAGAGGCCGCCGGACAAGGACAGCCCAGGGAAACCTTCTAAGAAGTAACTCAGCTCCGGCGCTAGCAGCAGAAGCTGAGTCTTTCATAATTGTGCGACCAACTCCTCCCGGTGACTGGCCACAGGGACGCGCCCGCGCCCGCCTCCGCCGGCGACGGGGCTGGAGACAGACCACGTGAGGGGCGCGTCGTGTGCGTCGCCGCCCGCGGGCTGGGTCACGTGAAGGGCGCGCGCTCCCTCCCTTCCAGGCCGCCTCCCTTCGCGCTGCGCGCACGCGCCGGGCACGGGCACCTCCACCTACCGCTCGGGCTTCCCGTGAAGGGTCGGGTGTTTTCCCCGGGTCTCCATTGGATCTCTGGGCGGGACTCGCACCAACATGTGTCTCCCCTACCGGAATGGAGCTCGAGGAAACAGTGGAGGAGGGTTAAGGTTCCGGGCCCCTGGGATCCAGCCTGGGGTTTCGGCGTGGTCTCATCTCCGCTAGCTGGGCCCGGCCTCCACCTGCCGCGCTAACTGGGCCTGGCCCATGCCTGCGCTCTGCTGCGGCGTTTCCCAGCCGCTTCTCTGTGCGTTAGACAGAGGTCTCACTCTCCTCGTCCAAAATGCCACATCATCTTCTCACCCCAAATCATGTTCTTCCTCCAGCTTCGTCTGTTTCTGCCAGAAAAAAGTTCTCCCAAATTTAACTGTGGGCTCCATCCCTTCCCTCCAGATTTGTCCCGCACAGACAACGCATACACCACCCACCTTAACCAGACTGCCGATTGTTCCCGGGTCTAATACATGCCTCTCTGCTTTTTCTTTTCCTTTGCTAAGTCCTGGTTTGACTCTAAGCGCTAGTTTACTAACTTGTTTTTCACATATAACCTTACTGCTCCCAGGGAAAAAGTTTGTCCGTTTGATCCTCTATTACCTGACTCTATCGCACCCCTTTTTTAAAAACAGCTTTCTTGAGGAATACTTGATGTACAATAACCTGCACATATTTAAATGTACAATTTGACAGGTGTTGACATATGTATACACTCATGAAATCACCATGATCAAGACAGTGAACATGTTCATCACCCCCCACGTTTCTTCCCTCCCTTTGTACTCCCTCCATCCTGTTCCTCCCCATTCCCATCCCTTAGCAAGCACTGATCTGCTTTCTGTCGCTCTAGATTAATTTGCATATTTCAGGGTTTTACAGAATGGAATCATTCAATATGTACTTTTTTTTTTTGGTCTGTGTTCTTTCACTCAGTATAACTTAAAGGCTATGACCCACAGTTCACTGAAGTAGGATCTTCTCTCCAACAAAACTAATCTGCCCATTGTTTTACCTAACAAGCTTTGGCCATGCTTATGAACATTCTTCAAGTATTCTGTGTTCCTTCCCCATTTGGCAGGTCCAGCAGGACCAAGGTTAAAAAAAAAAAAAAAGTTTTACTATATGTGTCATAGCTTTCCGACTAGATTATCAGCACCTTGGGGCAGGGATTTTGTCTAATTTATGCATGCCTTCAATAAATGTTTATTTTCTAGATCTCAGATGGGCCTACACACTTCTTACCTTAAGGGATTTTATAATCTAGAAGGTGGAGACAAACCGCAAAATCAAAATACAATGAGATAAGAGAGGTTTTTTTCCTCAGTCTTTGTGACTCTGGCCTTTTATGTACCCACAAATGCTTCACCCCTTGCTTGGATGATGTAGAAAGGTAATAAGAATAGCTCCATGGCACTTGATCTCCCAAACTCTTGCTAAATTGGAGCATTTAGTTTATTTTTTTTTAAAGATTTTTTTATCTATTTGAGAGAGAGAGCAGGAGCAGGGAGGGGCAGAGGGAGAGAGACTCTTAAGCAGGCTCCATGCCCAGCCCCCACGCAGGATTCAGTCTCACAACCCTGAGATCATGACCTGAGCTGAAATCCAGTGTCAGACGAGTAACTAAGTCACCCAGGTGCCCCTTGGAGCATTTAGTTTAGAGTTAGAAATGAGGAATATAATTATTCTTTAATTGAACTAATGAAAATTATTATTTAATTCACAGGTTATCAGAAGCCCTAAAGTTCACACATGCTGACTTTCAGTGAATTTATTCATGAAAAATCAATTCTGGGGAATGAATTTATTCATGAAAAAAAAAAAAGTACTGAGTTCCTAAGACTATATCGGAAACAGCCCTCTTTAATGTTCAGTGATGAACAAGATGGATAAATTCAGTGTTTCAGAAAATGTTCCTTAAGTTCTGTCTCACTTCTTTCCCATAGGGGCTCTGTTTCCATTTTGGTCAATGACAGCTCTATTTCCCACTCTCACTGGATCACATACTCATTCTCCTCCCTATCTTTGCCCAATTATTTGCAACAATTCAACATTTACTGCTACACTTTGCTTAAAGCACTAAGTGAGGTGTTATACATGATTTTTAAAAAAAATGAAAAAGCATGGCACTGCACCAACTCTTAGATTTTTTCTTTGTGTATTTAGAATTTTTACTTTAAAATAATTGTAGAATTGGGGCTCCTGGGTGGCTCAGTCAGTCGTTAAGCGTCTGCCTTCGGCTCAGGTCATGATCCCAGGGTCCTGGGATCGAGCCCCGCATCAGGCTCCGTGCTCGACGGGAAGCCTGCTTCTCCCTCTCCCACTCCTCTCTGCTTGTGTTGCCTCTCTTCGCTGTGTCTCTCTCTGTCAAATAAATAAATAAAATCTTAAAAAAAAAATAATTGTAGGAGGTTACAAATACACAAAGAAGTACAAATATGCTTCCTCAATCTCTCTTCCCCTTCTACCCCCCAACATCTCATATAACCACAGCACAATATCAAAACCAAAAAATTGACCTTGGAACAATCCAGGGTTTACTCAGATTTCACCGGTTATATATGCACTCATTTGTGTATATATTTGTGTGTAGCTCTATACAACTTTGTCACATGTATAGCCTGGAGTAACCACCCAATCAATCAAGATACTGAACTGTATTATGAGATCCCTCATGTCACTCCCTTATAGCCACACCCCTCCCATCCCACTCCTAACCTGACATCCAGCAGTCTGCAGTTCTAGCTCCATAATTATGTTATTCACAACTGTTACATAAATGGGATCGTGCAGTATGTATCCCCCTGTGGCTAGCCTCACTAAGCATAATTCCCTGGAGATTCATCCAAGTTGTTGCTTGTACCAGCAATTTATTCTTCTTCATTGCTGAACAGCACCCCATGATCTGGATGTACCACTGCTACAGGATTTCTTTTCCTTCGGTGCCCGCAGTTCTTGGTCACGCTGCTTTGAAAAATTAAGGAGTAGACCAGACAGAGTAGTGGGCAGCAAAGCAAGTTTTATTGAGTGATAGTAAAGTTTACTGAATGATAGAATACAAAACTCCCAAAGAGGGAGGGGACCCCAGAGGAGGTTCTATATCTAGGGGTTTTTATGGGCTTTGTTGGAGGGCTGTCTTAATTTGATTAACCCTCCCTGCTCCTGTCATCCAATCAGGTTTTGTCATCTATTACGTGGGAAAGGAGGGAGGGCTCCTTCCAGGGTGGCATAAAATCCTCTTAAGGGTGGTTTCCTCTTAGGGCAGTGCCCCCCTTGTCCCTGCCTGCTTTTCTTCCAACTATCCTTCATCACCACAGTTTGTCCATTCATCTTTTGAAGGACATCTGGGGAGGTCTGGACCACTACAAAGTTGCTATGAACATTTGTGTATAAGTTCCTCCATGAAAATAACTCTTCATTTCTCTGAGATAAATGCAATTGCTAGGCCCTTCTTAAGTCCATTTTTAGTTTTTAAAGGAATGGGTTATATTTTGAAGATAGAGCCAAAGGATCACCTGACAGATAGGATGTGGGCATGAGAGAAAAGAGGGGAGTCAGGGGTGGTTCGAAATGAACTAATGCATGTAGAACAGTGTTAGAACATACTAAGGGCTCAGTAAATGTCAGCTATACAAATGACCACAAACAACGCAAACTCTAAAGAAATGAGAAAATGCGTGAGCACTGTAAGCTACGGACATTGCCTTAGAAGGCAGTAGGAGACACTCTCAGGACACTTAGTGCATGGAAACCCCTTTGATTATTTTCATGAAACTGAAAAAGAAGAGTTCCACTTCCTCTTAAGATGTAGAAAGCAACAAGAGAATGTCACTCCCATTCTAACAAGAAAAAGCCAGACAATCTGCAAAACTGTTATTTTTAAAACTCATCAGAGAACTGAGGTCGTGGTAGGCAACCAAGAGAACTGAATTCCAAAGAGTGATAGGCGCCTCCCTAGGAAAGACAGGAGAAACGTTTTTGCCTTGGGAGAGTGTGTGTGGGCTGCAGGGAGTTTGCCACCCCCTCCCCCACCCTTACCCCCAGGTCTTTCCCTGGAGGAAGATTGGAGGCAGCCCACTCTCGGATTTTCAGCTTTCAGACTTGCATGCATTCTCAACATCAAAGGGAGTGATATCAGTTACTTCTTGGAAGTGAAAATTGATTCCTGGGGGGGGGAAAGGGGATGTGTGTGTGAAAATACTACTCTTTTTATATATAAAGCACGGATATACGTATAGTACATAAATAAACATTACAATTTCATGAGGGGGGTACAATTAGGAAAAACATGTCTAAAAAGACTGCACAGTGGAGTTATGAAAAAAAGGGTGAGAAACACTGATCTAGTGGAACAGATATACAAGCCAAACTCATAATGAAGATAAATATTATGATTGCTGTGTTAGCCAACCTCCAATAGGGCCCTTCGTGTTCCTCACTTCCTGGTATTCTCACCCTTGTGTAATCTCCCACAATGAATAGGGCTGACCTGTGTGATTGGTGGGATATTGTGAAAATGACAATGTGTCAGACTTCTAAGGCTTGGTCATAAAAGATGTTTTGGCCCCCACCTTGCTCTTTTAGAATACTCACTCTGGGGGAAGTCAGGTGCCATGCCATGAGGACACTTAAGCTGTTTTGTGAAGATGTACAAGTGGCAAGGAGATGAGACCTGTCAATAGTGAGCACCAACTTGCCCACTGTATGGGTAAGCCGTCCTGAAAGTGTATCCTTTGACCCCAGATGTCAGATGACGGCAGCCCCAACTGACATCTTGTAACCTCATGCAAAACTCTGAGACAGAGTCACCGCTAAGCTTCTCCAAGTTCCTGACTCTGGGAACTATGAGAAATG